ACACACACACACACACACTGACACACACCCACAATCACACACACCCTTCCGCACTGACATTCAGATCTGTCTACTCACACAGACGCAGACGTCCACACTCAGACACACACTGTACATCGTCTCTCAGTCTCCTTCTCTCACACACACTCGTCTATACATAGTTGTACATACACAGCCCCATCTAAACATATTCACAACATCCCAATATCATTCACACAGAAATGAGTATACAGTCACACACACACACGCAATATCCACCCATCCATCTACAGACTCTCTCACACACAAACCGACCCACCTAAACAGGCACGCATGCGTGCATGCACACACACACACACACGCCCCACCCCCACATACTCCGTCACACACACACACCTTTTTAACTGCCTTCAGAAAGGGCTGAGTAATTGTATTCGTGAAGCTGGGTTTCCAGTCCTTTGGATCAGAGCTGTCACAGTCACAGACACACTCTCACACTCACTCTCTGGGGCTATCTCTTCTGCTGGTCAAGAGTTAGCAGGGACTTTGAAAATTTTCATCACTGTCTGAGCATATGTATCATATGTCCCCTCATGAACTTACAATGTCATCAGCCATTTTATATCCCAATTTTTCTTGTAAAACCATTTTGTTAAGAAAATGACCAAAAGAAAAGATGTTGTCTTCAAAACTAATAAAAAAAAGTTTAATGTTTAGAAGCCTCTTTTGTTTGTATGGAACCGCCCATTGGATTCTGTTGTGTAAAGGATCATTTATCGTGCCAGAATCATTCTGAATTGGCCGACCCTGTTTATAATGGAAATTATTTATTTAAACATGTCACATTGTCAATACACCCTCCAATCAGCGGTGGCACTGTCATAGGTTCACTATTGAATTCTGAATAAAGACGATGATTTTACAGAGGGCACTGTGCTGTCCACCAGTGGAAACCAAATACAGCAATAGTCATATACTCATACAGCACAGAACAGGCTCTTTGGCCCATCTATCTACATTAATCCCAAATTCCAGCACTTGACTTATAGCCATGAATGATATTGGGATATTGTGGTTCCAGCTGAAATTACAGGACAATGGTGGAACCAAAAGGGCACTTTGAGATATAAGAGGTTAGGATCTGAACCTTTCTCAGCGAATTGAATGTGTTTGAGGTCCTCAGATTTAAGGGCTTGGCAGAAATCAGCAACACCATTGAGCATTGTGCATCTTCTCTCTCTCTCCCCCAGTGTCAAAACATTGGGTGGCAGAGTCTCAAAGCTGGGAAGTGAGCCCAGAATCCAAGCCATAGCACCTGCAGGCAGCATGGAGGGAGCACTGCACTGTTGGAGGGTCAGTGCTGAAGGAGCACCGCACTGTCGGAGGGTCAGTGCTGAGGAAGCGCCGCACTTTCGGAGGGTCAGTGTTGAGGGAGCACCGCACTGTCGGAGGGTCAGTGCTGAGGGAGTGCCGCACTGTCGGAGGGTCAGTGCTGAGGGAGCGCCACACTGTCGGAGGGTCAGTGCTGAGGGAGTGCTGCACTGTCGGGGGGTCAGTGCTGAGGGAGAGCCACACTGTTGGAGCATCTATTTCTTGGGCATGAAACAGCATTCATTGCCCTGTCCCTCGTTGCCCCCTTGAGAAGGTGGGGGTGAGCTGCCTTCTTGAACCACTGCAGTCCATGTGCTGTAGATTGACCTGCAAGGCCCTTAGGGAGCAAATTCCAGGATTTTGACCCAGCGTCAGTGAAGAAACGGTGATATAATTCTGAGTCAGGATGGGGAGTGGCTCGGAGGGGAACTTGCAGGGGGCTGGTGTTCCCATGTATCTGCTGCCCCTTGTCCTTCTAGATGGAAGTGGTCGTGGGTTTGGAAGGTGCTGCCTGAGGATCTTTGGTGAACTTCTGCAGAGCATCTTGTAGATGGTACACACTGCTGCTACTGAGCATCGGTGGGGGAGGGAGTGGGATGTCTGTGGATGTGGTGCCAATCGAACGGGGGCTGCTTTGTCCTGCTTCTTGAGTGTTGTTGGAGCTGCCCCTATCCAGGGCAAGTGGGGAGTATTCCATCACATTCCTGACTTGTGCCTTGTCGATGGTGGGACAGGCTTCGGGGGGAGTCAGGAGGGGAGTTACTCGCTGCAGGATTCCCATCCTCTGTGTGTAGAGTCTTTTATGTTCCTAACCCAATGTTCGTCAAAGCCGGATCAAGCTCACACGTATGAAACTAACAGTAAGTAGTAAGTGATGCTGGAGACTCTCAGGATTGAGCACTCTCAGGATGAGAATCAATTTCCATCACATCTTGTTTGCAGAGATCAGAGCAATAGACAGATATTCTGTTTACTTCAATCGTTTATTTAAATATATGAAGAATTGAGATCCTTTAGCTAGTGTAAGACAGTTTTGATACAAATAAGCAGCAAATCCCCAATTATATAATTCAGAGCTGAAATTACTGTTGCTCATACACATACCACTGTTCCTACCCATACAAACAGTGGCAGACAAAAACACTACAGGCCATTTGTATTTAAATACGGTGTTTTCACACAGGGAAATCATTTTCCTGTGAGAATTAGCTAATTAAATAATCTGCGAACCACAGAAACAGACACAAAACTTCTAACCCTGTAAAAATATCCTGCTGAGTTGTATGTGCATCTCAAAAATGGAGACATGGCTTACAGATTTGGGTTGAGGGTGTTCAGTTCACATGGACAGAGGCCGGGAGAGGCTGGGATTGTTCCCCTTGGAGCAGGGAAGGTTACAGGGGTCGGGGGGGGTTCGATCGAGTCAATGAGGGAGACACTGTTCCCAGGGACAGGAGGGTCAGTCACTAGAGGGTTTGAAGAGATTCAGGAAAAGACTCAAGAGGAGTTGGTGGGGGGAAAACAGTAGACGAGTGTGTTTTTTGACTCAGTGAGTTGTCGTGGTTGGGACATGCCACCTTGAAGGGAACAGTTTCAAGGGGAACTTTCAAAATGAGGGGAGGGGGAGGGGTGAATTTGCAGGAATGCAAGGTATAAATTGAAGCTAAAGCACAAACTCAAAGCGAAATTCCACTGGTGTGTAGGCACAGCTGGGAAGAGAGTGAGGGAAATTATGCATTCTTGCACCTTCTCTATTCTCAGGAATTTTGAGTTAAGACTCCAATGCAGTGCAGAAGAGGAACAGAATCTTGTTTGAGCCAGAGACTGGAGTGGAGTCAACTATATTTCCAGATTGGGTAAAGAGGGAATATTTCCATCATTAGAAAGGGACATCAGAGTGCAGTCACCTTTATGTTAAACCCTGTGGTGTGGCTTAAAATGGAGGTAGGGTACCAATGCATTTCTAAAATAAAAGTTGAAAAAGATTTTCCTGGCTTTTACGGATGACTTTGACTCCTCCGCCCATCCCCAATCCGAATCCCATCTGATACAAATATCTTTGGTGCCTGTTTGTCTCGGGTGACAGAACCAAGAGAAGGAAATGTGAGAGTGAGCAGGAGCAAACCCATTTAAAATAAAACTCCGCTGCAGCAGCGCCCTTCTGCCAGGAGGAGGTGCTACTTTGATCAATCACTGCTACTATCTCACGCAGATTGCTCATCACAAACTGTAAAGTGCTACTTCTTTCAGCAGGCTACAAACAAAACAAGGTTCCTACCCCCTTAACCACTTAGAGGAAGTATAAATTGCCCCCATAACTATCACAACAGAAAGCAAGTGTACAATAAATTGAATAGAAATGTTGAAACAGGAAAACTCAACTCTAAATATCAACTGAATGACAATCAGTACAACTTAAATAATTCTATGACATCTACAGCTATTGTCGAAAGTGCAAAGTGAATGATTATAATCTGAGAGAGGTTACAACAGTAACAGAAATCAAGAAAATTAATTTCAGAAATATATAAATGCAAAGACTTACAGCAATCATGCAGGGAATCAGCTGTTCAAAGGCTTTACCACTGGTATGATAACAAAGTTACTGGCACCTGTATTCATTTTTGCAGTCATCAATTGTGGCTTTGATTCTATCCTGGCAGCAATTCCAATTAAGACAGAAGTTCCCCGGGAATGTCAATATTTGCCAGGGATCCCCAGAAACATGTCAATTTCAGTGACAGGTTTATTTGAAGTATCTGTATAGGTATTCAGTGAATATTGTCTAATTTCTGCAAAGGGTGAGGCGCAATACTTCATTACTACCAACAGATGGCTCCCCATAAGCTACAGTGGCGCCACCTGTTGCCCACAAGCTGAAATAACAGATGGGAAGCTTCTTGACAATTTTGTCCTTAAAGCACGCTCCCAACTTTCCAACAAAATAGCCTCAAATATCTTCCAAGGATTCCTCACTCCCTTCAACTAAAAGACAATCTGCAACACTGTCTCCTCTGCCAGTACATTTCACAGGAAAGGACACTGCAGCCTTGATAAAAATAATTGTGATTGAGAAATTTGTAAAATTTGCACATCCCCCATGATTGTGAGGCAAAAGCAGCTAAGAGATGAAAGCTGTTTAAATTCCTCAGCTCGATCAGCATTGTGACCATCCCACCTCTTTCTCAAAGGCTTCCTTCCTGTAAAGTAAAAGACAAATATTGTTAAAAATGTATGCTACTGTGGCAGGGACATATCAGTTAGCTAGACACCTGGTTCACAATGCAGCGTTTTACCAACAGTGCAGTTTCATTCCCGTCATCAGTTGAGGTACTACAGAACTTCCCCAAGGCTCCTCAGACAGCACCTTCCACGAGCACTTCTATCTCAAAGGACAACGGTAGCAGATGCACGGGAACACCATCCCGTACAAGTTCCCCTCCATTCCACTCACCATTCTGACTCGGAAATATATCGCCGTTCCTTCAATGTCGCTGGGTCAAAATCCTGGAATTCCCTCCCTAAGGGACATTGTGGGTCTATCTACAGCACATGGACAGCAGCGGTTGAAGAAGGCAACTCACCCTCCACCTTCTCAAGGGGGCAATTAGGGACAGGCAATAAATATTGGCCCAGCCAGCAAAATCCACAAATCGATAAAAAAAAATTAGCCAATATTTTGTAGAATGACAGAGCAGTTACATCAAACAAAGCAGCCATTTGGCCTCTCTTCTCCATGCTCACGCTGCCACAAGTGGTCTCACTGCTACTACAGTCGTAATAATCCCAGCTCAGTACAGGCAGGAGATTAAACTTCCAAGCTACATATTAGATTCATCATAGAATTGTGAACTAAAGTCAAAATCTGACTTCTAAATTTCCTACCCTCCTGAATCTCTCATTCATTTTTCTTAATCAATAACTTTTTTTTGTATTAATTGGCAATATTTCACTATCATGTGCATGTTTTATCTGTTCTTTTAAAAAAAAGAGACTGGTTAACTTATCTCCCACTTCCACAGCTTTCCACTAACTGATGTGGAATAGTTTATCTGATGCTGCTGCCCCATTTATACTCTTGTAGCCATGGGCATTTTTAAAATTCATATATTTCTTTGCAAAGAATCATCCAATTTTCTCACAAGAGTCTCAATCCAACCTGCCTCCTCCACGCTCTCAGTCCAAGATGGTCGAGCCCTCACCGTGAGACTTGGTGGTCCTCTCTGTGTGAGATTCACTGGTTTTCATCACTTCCTTTGCAGATCACCATAAACCTGTCTCCCTCTCACTCTCAGTCCTTCCACCGATGGGAACACTTCCTCCTATCTCCACTCTGTCCAGAACTACCTCCATCAAATCTCATCTCTAGTCCCAGCTTTACCAACTCATCCTCGTAACTACAGTCCCTTGTCCCAGAAACCACTCTCACAAATATATGTTTTCTGCACCTCCCTCAAAAGCCTTCACACCAGTTTTCACAACTGGACACAATAGTTCAGCTGAGCCATTGTACAAAAATTTAGCATAACCGCCTTGCACGAAACCCTGATTGATAAAGATATGGATCTCCCATAGCTTGTGACAAATGGATTGATTTGACTGGAATAGTCCAAATTGAGTTACTGAGAGACGCACAGAAATTACCCTCAAGTTGTACAGTACAGGACTGGATAGTCTGTCTTTCTCTCTCTCTTTAACCACACAATCTCCCCAGGCCTGAGAGGACCTCCTTTCTCAACCAAGTTAAATCATGCAACATTCCAGAACAGAGGTCTTATTATCCACCAGGATGTTGATCCAGATAATCGAGATTTCTGCCCACATCCTGCTCTCTCCCTCACTGTGGTCTCCCTGTGTCTTACCTTTCTCTTCCCACATTGTTTGTCTCTTTCCCCATCCCTCTAATAGCCACTAAAGTACGTAAACTTAAAGCTTCTAAGTTTGTGACACATTTAGACTGTAACACGTAGGAGTAGAATTAGGCCATTCAGCCCATCGCACCTGCCATTCAATCATGGCTGATGTTTTTGACACAACCCCACGTTAAAACTCCTCCCTCCCAGACCTTTCTCTCAGAATCTCCCTCTTGTCTCTCTCTCTCTCTGGCTATCTCTGCTCTGTCAGTTCGTGCTCAGATGTAGAGCATATTCAAGACTGAGATGGATTCAGATTTTCAGACACGGAGGGAATGGTGGGAATAAGGTGAGGAAAGTGGAGTCGAGTAAATCTGGGATACCGTGCATACTTTTGGTCTCCATAGCTAAAGGAAGAGAATACTCCCATTGGAAGTGGGTACAGGAGTAGTTCGATAAATCAGTCCCTGGGATGAAAGATTTGTCCAAGACTTTCTTTAATTAAGGGATGTGGGTGCCGCTGGCTAGGTCACAATCTATTGCCCGTAACCGATTGAGAAGATGGTAGTGAGATATCTTCGTGAACCTCTGCAGAGGTGCGGTCAATTGGGCTGACATTCTCTGGAATTCTTTGGAAAAATGAGAGGTGAATTCATCAAAACGGACAAGATTCCAAAGGAGCTGGACAGGGTGGATGCTGAGAGACTATTTTCCTTCTGGTCCGGGGACATAGGGTTAAAAGTCTCAACGTGAGGTACCAGCCATCTTGGACTGAGGGGAGAGGGTGGCGGCCACCTTGGACCGAGGGGAGAGGGTAAAGGGGGCACATCTCCTTTGCTAAAAGGAAATTAATGAACATTCACGATAACGATCACCCATCAGGCTAATATTTCAATTCTGGACTTTTATTGAATTCAAATTTCACCATCTGCCGTGGTGGGATTCGAACCTGTGACCCCAGAACATTAGACTGGGATTCTGGATTACTATCCCAGTCAGTCCACCGTCACTATGTCAGGACCGCCCCCGCCCCCTAAGAAAGCTAAGGTGAGCCACGGTCGTAAAATAAGGGGAGGAAAACTCAAGGGGCTGAATGGTCAACTTTTGCCCTTACTGCCTTCCCTTCGCTTCCTTCCACTCATCTCCCACATCCTCTCTCTCTCTGTCCCTCTGTCTCCGGGGAGGGAGTCATAACGAGACATGTACCTGGTTTGTGGTTCACATGACCAGAGGAACGGAGTCAGTCACACAGTTGGGAATGGATGAGTCACTCCCCTTCCAGATAGGGGTCTTGGCAGCCTGGTTATCCCTGCACAGAGGAGGGGACGGCAAGGAAAAAAAGGCAGTTTATAATGGACGACGAAGCAACATATTTTAAAATGCTATGACACACTCACATTCACACACTCACACACTGTATCCTCCGTATCTCAGCCATCATGAGACGCTCACTCTTAGACAGCTACCTCCCCCAGTGAATCGATCCATCTCCTGCCATACACCTCCTTCCCACCCACTCGGCTAGAGCAAAGAAAGAAGGCCTCGCATTTGCATAGCGCCTGTCTTGGTCTAAGGAGCGACCAAAGAACTTTTACAGCTAGTGAAGTGCAGTTTGCGGAGCTGCCGTGAGGCAACGGACAGACCTGCTACACAGCAAGATCCCACAGGCAGCCACTGTGCTAATGACCTGCATTGACCGCTTTCTGAGTGATGTCAATCGAAGGATCAATACTGGTGCCAGGACACTGGGGAGAAATCAGTCCTCCAGCCCTCCACCTGCTCTCCTTCCAAAATGTGATTGTGGGTCCTTTAAAACCACCCCAGAAGTTGGAGTGTGACCGTACAACAGTGCGGCGCTCCCTCAGCACCGACCCTCCGACAGTGCGGCGCTCCCTCAGCACCGACCCTCCGACAGTGCGGCGCTCCCTCAGCAC